AAAAATAATTAAGGACGCCATAAGACAAGGCCGCAGTGTCCAAGAGTCAAGCAAGGGCCTGGCAAGTCTATCCTATCATAAGGCGAGGTCCATCCCCGGGTTAGCGACAGACTCGCCGATAGTGATAACATCAGTTATGGGGAGTGACAGTGTAGATTTTTTAACTTTGAATGTTTCTTGTATTATGGTTAGGCTAGGGAGGTTAGACAGGATGGGTGAAATCTATTCTCATGGAATTTCTCCCAAGTACTTGTCCTTGATTTTTTTGGTTGTGAGTTCGAATTCAGGGTGGTTTCTGTTTAGATTATCGCTAGTGATACCTAGTTCCTTTTCAATTTGTGAGAACTCAGCTGGAATAATGGGTTTCTCTAATTGGGTTAGACCTTCTTTGATCCATTTGAGGCCTAAAGAAAGTTTGAAGAAGAACTTGTTTCTGAGTTGTTTAATAAATTCTTTGACCTTGTCTTGTTCGATAATAGATAGAATATTGCTGTTGTTCTCATTATACCAGTGAACTGGTGGTAAGGGTCTCTTAGATTTGATAAAGTCTTGTGACAGTCTCTTCACAGCATACATGTCGTCTCTTAATATTTGAACTGCTGCTTGGATCATTTCTGAATCATTGTCAACAGGGAAGTAGGAGTGAAGATATTCAGGAAGGTCTGTATATAATGAGGGAAAAAATTGCTTAAGTGGAGATAGGTTGAAATAGGATTGGAGTAATTTGCTTGGGACATAGTAATGATCTCTTATTTGCTCACAAGTTTTCGTAGGTTTCTCAAGTCAGCTCTACTTGTAAGAGGGAAGATACTATGAAGTTCACTTTTGAGATTGGTCAGGTTATCTGGAAGATCTGGTCTTTGTACAAAAAATGAAGGTGGGAGTAGATTAAAGTTATAGTATGCTCTGAGGCATTCTGCTACTTCTCTAGTAAATTTTGGTGAGGTAATAGGGATGGCTTTAGGTAATTTGATTTTAATTGATGCTGGGATGTCATTAGGTGACTCAGAAAGGTTCGGTAGTTTCATTTTTATAAGTTCTTCACACTTGTTGTACAATTCTTAATAGTCTATTTTTGTAAGCATAGGATTGAAGAAAAAGTTGAAGCCGTATTCCAAATGTTGAGCAACTTGCCAGAATTTCAGTTTTGTGAAGTCTATTGATCTGAGGTAGGCGGCAAAGAGTGCTTTATTAATGATTATCCGAATTTTTTTCTTGGTGGTTCTGGTGATGTAGCCAATGTTATTCACCTTAAAATAGTTTGCCTTGAACTTGTTTTTAATTTTTTCGTACTCAAGTTATTGTTTGCCTTTGATTTGTTTGCTTTTGGTAAAAGTTCTGAAAAAGTCTCTGTCGCTATAACCGATTTTTGTAAAAATAGCTTTTAATGAAGATCTGGGAAGACCTTTGGAGTCGTTTCTAATTTTAATGAAGAGTTTAAGTACATCCTCTAGAGTTCTGGAGCAGTTAGTAATTTCTTCACAGTACAGAAGAATCTTGGTTTGTTCATTTTTGGGAGTGGTGTCACAAATATCATTTTCAAGCTGGCTGGTGATAGAAGATAATAGTGTGGCTTCTGTTTCATCAACCCAAGAGGAGATATTGGTTGTAGGTTGTGAGTGTGGCTTATTGTGTATAGAAGAATCATCAATTTCCATTTCAGAAGGGTTTTGTGTATTGTGTTAATTGGTATTGTTCTCATGCAGGGGTGCATTAGTGCCTGAGTTATTTGTTTCAGATTCATGTGGGTACTGCATTGAGTTATTATCGATAGGTGGTACAAGTTCAGGGGTAGATGCAGAGATTGTTGCAGGAGAAAAATCAGGTTGCATGCTATTGTCATCGATTACTTTCTCTGTGGGTGCAGGTGTTTTTGGAAGGGGTAAGGGCATCCTGGTTTTTCTTTCAAAAGTAAAAGTTTTACTTTCTTCAAAAATAGTAATATTAAGTTTCTTCCAAGGAATATGTAGGCTATAGTTAAGGTCATATTTCATAATTTCTCTCATGATGTCTGTTCTGTCCTCATCTGTAAGTTGGAAGGTGTGTTGAAATTCCATAAAGGAGTTTAAGTCTTCTAAGGGCATTGGTTCTGGCATGGTTATAGTGGCAAGTGTAAGTATAAGTGATATCCTAGTTCTTTAGTAGTCTTCAAAAGTGGTGCTAATGATATTGAGACTTTCCAAATCACTTTGTAGAGAGTGAACAGCTGTTATCCATACTTTTGGACAGTTTCCCAGTCTGGGAAGGTGGATTGATTGGGCAGAAGTAGAGGCATAGATTTTATTGTTTTGGTATTTCTGTAAATGATAATAGCTCAAGGGCTTTTGATATTGGTTACAAGTATGTCAAGGAGGATGTGTTCATGGTTGACTGCTTGACCCTTGAAGAGAAAGGGCTCCCCAGGGTCTTTCGCTTTTTTTTTCCAAGAAGAAATTTTGAATTTCCTAATTTAGTAATTTTTTGCGATACAAATGTGTTTAGGAAAGAGTTTTTTTTGGTTATTCTACAAGTTATAATATAAAATTATTAATTAATATATTTATTAATATATTTATTAAAATTAATATACATACTTGAAAATGATTTAAAAAATCTTCAGAAACAATAGGATGCATTGGTGGAATTCATTTAGAAGTTCGTCAAGTAATACATACTTTACATTCACAAATTACATCTTCAACTAACTGTTGAGGAATATAACAATATCTGACATGAATCTAATAAAAAATTAATTTTAAAATTAATTTTATTTAAGAGTATATTTATTTAATTACTTACCTTTTTCCAAGTTTTTTCTTGACCTTCATGTTCTGTTGCCTGATGTATGGTACAAATTACTTCATAAAAAATTTCAACATAACAAACTTGTGTTCCCAAATTGATTCTATCTTGTTTAAGTATATGTAATTTTTCTGTTGTACCAATATAAATAATTTTAAACGTATTAATTACCCAATACTTAAATGTCGGATTGCATTGAATATTTGGATTTTTCAAAATATTCAAGCATTCATCATAACAACTTCTATTCATCAAACTTCGATTATTCTTTCTTTTGTTAATAAGATTCTCTAATATTTGATCAAAGGTTTCCCGGGTTATAAAACTATATTCTTGCAAATCCATGTTAAAAAAAAATATTAAATTAAAGTAAAAAAAAAAGTATTGATTTAAATATATAACAGAAAAAACTACGTAAATTTAATACGTAATCAATAAATAGTCTAAATTATGAATCATCTTGAGTCATTTATCAATCGGTGAAAATTTATATTTGACACATGTTAATTAATAATTAACATATATTGAAAAATGACGCAGAACATATATAGTAATACAATGATTGTCATATTATACGTGTACTGAAACATTTGATTTTTTTAAAAAATCGTCTTTGTCTTTTTGGAAAATCCGCAGTTTTTATTTTATAAAAAAAAAAAAACCATGTATGACATCACCGAAATAATGGTGTTCTGTCTCGTTCTAGGCGACGCTGTTAAAAATTCTTTCCCGGTCGACATTAAACGTAAAATGACCATAGGGCATCTCAAGACACTAATAAAGAATGCGAAATCTCCGGAACTTGACAAATTTGCACCAGATAAACTGAATCTATGGAAGGTTGATATTCCTCAAAATAAAGAAAATCTGAAAATGAAAATACCCGTCGGAGTTGATATTGCAAAAGAATATGGAGGTATAGAGTTGGCCTCATTCGAAACTATTGAAGATTATTTTCGTCCGATACCCACTAGTACTAGCATTCGTATTATTGTACAACCGCCTGACACAACTGGTAAGTGTCTCCCAATGTTTTACCCCTCGAATAAAGATAATTGCGCTATTACGCTTCCTATATATAATGTATTAACACCTTTATCTCAGTACTTGATAAACGAAGCGCTGATATATCTCATGACATTGCAAACCTTGGTTATCTACCTCGACAAGGTAGGTATAAGTTGATATTTTTAATCACAATCTGGTAATATATTTTTAATCTCAACTTAACTTTTTTAGGTGGCCTTGGTGGTACGTCTCTACCTATTGATCTGAGGATAAGATCTTCCAACGAGGGTGTTAATATTAATGACCCTGATGTCAGCCTAAGATTTGATATTATACCTCTTTTGATCAAAGATCTTATTGATAAAAAGATCATACTTGTTCGAGCACCTCCCTTTTCCGGAAAAACGTCAATAGCCCAAATTATGGAGCATAACTTGGTTAACGCACCAGAATTTTTAAATTATAGAGTAATACGAGTTTCATTGCTTTGGAGATTGCACACCAGTTGGAATACATTTGGAGAGCGATGGAAAAGTATTGTTGGTGTAAGTTGGAAAGATTGGATAGAGCAGTGCGATTTAATTTCAACGATTTTGATTCTAGATGAAGCTCAATTAATTTACGCGAAGGAGAAAAAAGTTGATCAAAATAATATGGAATCTGCGAATCAATTCTGGATGATTGTTAAAAGTGCCCTTCAAGAAATGGCGAATATAAAGATTATTATGTTTGCGGCCTATGGATATAGAAGTTCTAACCGTATAGGATTCACAACTCCTGTCGCATTACCGGAATCAAATTGCAAAAGTCTTATTGACATTAATTTTAAGCGTGATGAGTTAAAAAGGTATATTGAAAAGTTCTGTGGCAATTACTTCAAAAATTTAGATCTACCAAGCGTCTCAAAATTATATAAATATATTTGGGTAGTTACAAAAGGACACGCGGGCTTGATTCGTCACGTCTTGATGTCTACTGAAAATGCAATGAAGAAGCGAATTGATACTAATCACCTATATTGGGACGAAATATTCAAGTACTTAAATTCAAAGGATTTTGATTCATCTATCTATAACAACTGTCGTGCCGTACCAAAAGTTTCTGCACTTTCTAATGAGCAAATAAGCTTATGTGAGGATGTTTACCTAAATGAAAAATTTTTTTATCCGGACTCTGATGAGAATGCTATGTATTTAGTCAGATCTGGGATCCTTATTATTGAGGATTGTATATATTTATCTTTTGCGGCACCTCTTCTTAAGCGGTCATTTTTTCAGCAAAATTATGGAGTTCAAAATAGTACCGATAGTACACCTACCGATTTGCATCATTTTATCGTGAAGATTTTCACAGTAATATGTAATGAACTAAGTGGGAAAATTTTAAGAGATACGCTTGGATTTGGATCCGATGGAAGAATCCTGGAACAAACATGGCAGAAGGAATTTTATAGAATCGGTACACAGGTATTGGGAAAGGGTCATTTTTTGTCGTGTGATGTGGGTTCGGTTTTTGGATGTGATGGCAAAATAGATTTTTATGTGGACAAGTTAGACTGGGCGATAGAGCTCTTGAGAGATGGTGATGATATGGCTGAGCACGAAGAAAGATTTAACTCTTTAACGGGAGAATATAAAGAAATTGTAAAATACGCAAAGAGCATAGCTATTATTGATATTCGCAGTGAGGTAAAAAACGTTCGAAAATTGCGGAAGGATTTCATACATGTGTCATACTCCAAAGATTTTGATGCATTTAAGATAGAAAGTTTGGGTAAAGAAACTGTGATTATTAGGTTTCAGAATTAGTTTATTATTCAATCAGACAAAGTAATATATAAACTAGGTTTCCAATATATAACACATTTTTTCTTCTGATACAAAATATAAAATAATAATAAACTTTGACGTTAAAGAAAAAAGGGGATGTGTATTGTCATTAATGCATGTTTAAAAAATCGAAGTTTTTATTACATTAGAGAAAAGATATTGGAGTAGATCTCGTTTAAAGGGAGGAAGCCCGCCGGCCCTAAACCCGTCGCAAAGCAAGGATGACGGTTCGATCTCACTACTCAATATTACTACTAAGTTTCCGACCCCAAGATTAAGAGTATTAACGGCTACAATACCATACATATCATCTAAATAACACTCTTTTTTTGCCATAATTCTATCAAAAATAATTTTAAATTGGTTCCAGATTTCTGTTATATCGGAAAATGAACGCTGGCTCGAACTGGAGGAAGTTTCGGAATAATCACCACCATCTTGTTGATTACCATCATTTTGTTGATCCATTAAGTTATTTCGAAGTTGAATAATCTCGCTTTGGAGTGATATAATAGATTCCTCGATTGATTCGATTTTGGACGCAATTTCATTAAACATATTGTTATGCGCAGAAAGGTCGGCATTAA